TTCTGCCTCAGTCAGGAGAAAACTTTGTATAAATTAATGAAAAACAAATTTTGATGTGCTCTTTAAGCTCTCATTAAAGGAGCACATCCCAAAACACTGGTTAATCAATCTGTGGGCTTTGGGGGTTTTTGCTTCAGATTTTTTTCATCTAATAGTTGGGTTAATGGTTATAGCTTGTATATACATAACGCTTTTCAAAATGCCTAAATGATTTAGGAGTAAAACCGATTGCGAGCTCGAATTTCCATCTCACAGGAAAGTCTGATATTGCATATCTGTTTTCATTCCAAATTGGAATGAGCAGCAGAAACGTTGATATTTTCTGCAAAATGAAAATTCTGAAAAATTTTGATACGGTTAAAAAACTGTAACATAACTTGAAAGATGAAATACAATACATTGCACAGTAAATGTACTGCATTTAATGTCTTAATGGAAATATGGAAACAAAGCATTTCAATATTTTTAAACAAAATGAGAAAGAGCAAACTTTTCCCCCACATCATCAATTCTATTCAAATTATCACACAAACTGTTTTGCTTAGGAAAAAACTGCATTTTCCAGGGAAAATGGTTCCTTCAAATTTTTGTTTCTATCTGCTCCATTTAAGAGTCTCTAATCAGTTCTCAAAAGCGTCTTAACAGCCTATTGAAAAATATCTTACCCTTTGGAACCCAAACGGTCTAATCATTTTTTAAACTTAAGCAATAAGCATCTATGTAATTTAGGAGATTTTGAAAATATTGCCCTAGCTCTTACTGCCAGTCACAGTATATGTAGCTTGGGTAGCATTAGCATTGTATTTACAACAACAAGGCACTGAGCACAGACCAGTTTACCTTGGTTCCCCATCTATAAAAGGTGCAGAACATTTATTTAAATGTGTATTATTCACGTTTTTGAAGGCATTTGAAAGATGCCATGCAAGATACAGGCAACACACTTTTACTTTCTCAAGCATTTGATGATAAACACATAGGGCATAGGCAGTCCTCAAATTCACACTGGTGCATTTATATAGGCCAACATTTTATTTAGGAAAAAATATTACTAGATTAGTTCTGATCCTTCCAAAAAGGAAGTGGCATGCATTTCCTCTTCTGTTTCTCACTTACCACTCTTCGAAAAATGAAAATTGCAACTGGCTCTAATTTTAGTGTCTGGAGGAACTTAGTTTCTCCATTAGGAAAAATATATTTGAAAAGTTGACTCAAGAAAAGAATGAAAGCAAGAAGAGGCACTTACATCACTGAAGTGAAGGGTAGTCAAAGGATCACAAGATCTGATATTCAGGAGAAGGCAAAAGTTTGGTAGTGGAAATTGGAGGCTATAAAAGGCTGACAGGATGCAAACAGGAGAGTTCTGGAGTCAGATGTGTTAGGTCATGACAATTAACTGTAATTAAGAGGAAATATCAACATTGAGGACTTCTGACTGGTAGGTTAATTGGTCTCCTCCATCCTGTGGAGATAATATAGGAAGTCTGATCCCAGAAGATGCCAAATATGCTGCTACCAAAATTAAGCCTCAGCTAAATTTAGGGAAAGCATGCATTAATATTGCCAGGTGTGGCTGGTAAAATTTCCACAGGCTAGATCACAAGCAAGGTGCTTAGTAGGAAAAAAGTAATGGCTCAGCAGCCCTTTACTAATCTCCTCTGAATCTTACACATACAGACAGGAATGTAGATGTATGTCTTTAGTCAAAGGCTAGACTATAGCCCATGTAAAAATGCCTGAGCTAGCTTTAAGATAGCCAGCTGATAGCGACATAGCTCAGCACAAAGCTCAGCGTGTGCAAGATACCGAGGGTCCCAGGTTGGTATTACAGCCTATACTGAATCCTTTGCTGCCATGGCTGCTCTTGCTTCCCATCTAACTAGTTTAAACCTTGCTCTGCTGTTTGATGTGTAGACACAACTCGATTCTCAAAACAGTTAGTGGCATTTGTCTTCTATTTGTGTGACTGGTTAAGGGATGAGGGGAGGTGTGTATTTAGCCACAAAACTCCCACTAATTTTGATGGGATTTGAATAGCTAGACCTACTCACTCAGTGGCTTTGAAAATGTAAGCCATTGTCTATTTATGACCATTTTATATATATAGATGACTAGAAACGTGCTGGGAACTTTATAGATCATAGCCAATGGCTTGCATTTTCAAAGCCACTGAGTAGGTCTAGCTATTCAAATCCCATTCCCTTAAAGAGTCACTGGAAGCCCCCAAAAGAGTCAAGTGAAAAATAACCCGCCTATAATTTCCTTCACGTGGTATTCAGTGATTTTTGGAAGGTTCAGAGCAGATAGGACCACTCCGTATGTATATTTGCTTATAATTTGAGAATGGTTGGTCCTACAACTCTATAAACTTTCCAACATCACTGAATACCACCTGAAGAAAATTATAGATGGGTTATTTTTCACTTGACCCTTTCGGGGGCTTCCAGTGACTATTGAAGGGAACGATGCTTTTCACACGGACAGTTATATGTGACTTGCTCCAGAGCTGGTAGTCGAAGAGGGTTGTATATACTGGTGCCAACAGGAAACACCGCAAACATTGTTTACCAAGGAGTTCTACAATAAAGATCATTCATTTGGATGAAATGTCGCTCCACGTTAAATATTAAATGTTAAATGTGTTGTACTATGTTCATAGATTCATAGATTAAGGGTCGGAAGGGACCTAGTAGATCTTCTAGCCCGACCCCCCGCCAGGGCGGGAGAACAACAAAAAACCCCAAAAAGAGAAACGGGACTCAAACGAGTCCAGCCAGGTAGGCATCCAGCCTCTTCTTAAAGACCCCCAGGGTAGGGGCCAGCACCACTTCCCTTGGAAGTTGGTTCCAGCTCCTAGCCGCCCTAACCGTGAAGTAGTTTTTGCGGATGTCCAATCTATACCTCCTCTCCATCAGCTTGTGCCCATTACTCCTTGTTATGCCAGC